TAAAATATAAAACAACAGTAACTCCGAAAATAAACATTTTAATAATATTCTAACTTTCGACTAAGATTCAGTCATCATCAGGAATGATGCTAGGTTACATTACATCGATATATATATATATATATATATATATATATATATATATATATATATATATATATATATATATATATATATATATATATACTATATATATATATATATATATATATATATATATATATATATATATATATATATATATATATATATATATATATATATATATATATATATATATATATATATATATATATATATATATATATATATATATACATGTGTGTGTGTGTGTGTGTGTGTGTGTGTGTATAGTGAGTATTTCATAATTTCCAGCCCGCGCGCAAGCTGAAAGGTATATTGCCTGCCGCGGCTGGGCATTGAACCCAGATATCATGATTTCGTCCGGTTCAAATTTGAAATCCTTAATAAATTATAGTTAGGAAGGCAGTTGCGTTGTTAATAGTATATGATGTGAAGTTTAAATTAGAGCATGAAGGATCATAGCGAGAAATTTTGATAATTCATACACTACGTTTCTGTGATTCTAAAGGCCGGCGCACACTAGAGCTATGTGCTTAGCAAAATGTCATTCGTGACTGTTGGCGTAAGGAGATAGCTCTCGTGTGCGGGCGATTTACGAACGACTTTTGTCATTCGTGCCACTTACGCCAAATATCTAACATGTTTGATAATTTCTGCCTAGCGTGCCAAAATCTTTCCGTGTGCGGCGAACGAAAGCTATCTGCTTACGGATTGTCGTAACAGCGCATGCGTAGTATACGAAAGTAAACATCCAAGATGGCGGCGCAAAATAAATTGCTGGCTGAGGCAATTTTAGAAGACAAACTTGTCGTGATAATGCTGTTCCAACAACTTGTCTACAAGCTTGCTACAAGCCTGTTGAGAACATATCTTGTTGACAAGTTGTTGGAACAGCATTGTCACAACTTGTTAACAAGCTTGCTACAAGCCTGTTGAGAACATATCTTGTTGACAAGTT